TTTATGAATGTAAATTAAAGTCATATAAGTATTGAAAATGATGGTTTAGATCCTCTCTCTCATGGAAAAGTGACCACAATACATTACTCAGTGGGAAAAACAAGATTACAGAATATTAATTATATGATGACTCATCTACTTTAAATTGTGTGTTAATACAAAAGATTCCTTAAAGAATTTTTTCTAAAAGGTTCATTGTGATTAATTCTGGAAGGTAAGATTTTAGGATCTACACATAGTTTGCTCTAAGCATGATTTAAATGTTTTTAAAATAGTTTATTCATTTAATACTCAGAAAAAATATTTTCATTTGAAAATCAATTTCTTTAATATATTGTCTTTTTAATACTTCTTTTTAAAATCAAAAGAATTCCAAAGGGTGTTTTGTTACCATTATTGTGGGTTTTATTTTGATTTTTTGTTTCCTTTAAATAACTAATGAACTATAGTGAAATAATAAACTGAAGAACACATAACTTTTAAATAAGTATATAAAATTTTCTCATTCTTTCCTCTTCATGTTATAATCAGAAAGCAACATTCTTCTGTGTTGATATCTCCAGCCCACAGTTCAGAAAGAGGATTAGGAGAATAAGGAGAAAGGAGAAAATGAAGAGTTAATGAGACAAAAAAAAAAAAAAAAAGGCTGACATATAAACATAGAATAAGAATTCTTGCCTAATCGGTTTGACTCAGTGGATAGAGCATCAGCCTGCGGACTCAAAGGTCCCAGGTTTGATTCCGGTCAGGGGCATGTACCTTGGTTGTGGGCACATACCCAGTGGGGAGTGTGCAGGAGGCAGCTGATCGATGTTTCTCTCTCATCAATGTTTCTAACTCTCTATCCCTCTTCCTTCCTCTTTGTAAAAAATCAATAAAATATATTTTTTAAAAAAGAATTCTCAAGTTTACTCAGTCTTATTCCTCTTTAAATACTTCATGAAAAATATGGATTTTCACCAGAAAAAAATGCCTGTATCTATACAAACAACTTTGGTGGGTCCACAGATTCCATGACGCACCTGGGTACCTCAGAACAAGAAAGCCAGACCTAGAGAGACGAAAAAAGTCAAGGACATGCAGCGTCAGAGCCACAAAAAGGGAGCAAAATCTACCTGCTGATGATCTATGTGGCAAGCTGTCCTGTGTCCTCACAAACAAATTTCAACACCGGGGGAGTCTTTACAACTTCAGACAGGAGTCCACACAGACGATCCATCCTATGACCATGGCTAAAGGGCCACACTGCTAGCCGGGTGCTCTCTATTGAGTTCTCCCAGGCACATTTTCAGTGGCGTGGGTCAGCGCGCAAAGTTCAAATGCAACTGCCTCCCAGCCACAAGTAGGGGGTGGAGCAGATCCTCCCCCTCTGTCCTCGGTGATATCCTTATTTATCTGACACTCTACCACACCAGGTGGATGTCTGAAGAATAGAAACTGAGATCCACATGCCTCTTTCATCCTTCTTCCCACAATCCCTCAAGACTGGGAATGAGAGATTTCCCCTATTCTTCTTCCTCTTCTACCCATTAATGTTCCCTGTTTAAGATGGAGTGATCCAGCCTGCCAAAGGAAACTTTTCCCATGCTGAAAGAAAAATAAACATTGAAACATTAATCCAAGTACTGGCCTGGTTTGCAAGGTGAAGTACAGATGTAAAACCCTGTGTAAGAACCTGACGTCTCTTCCTGGGTTCATGGATGCTGAGGGGAACTAGAGTGAAGGCTCCCAAGGTCAAAAAGGGAATCACAGAAAAAACATAAGCTGTGCGCATTGTCTAGGTGCCATGTCAACTCCCCTGTTGCCTCTCCTCACACTCAAATGAATTAAACACCCAGAGCAGTCATCATACCGTGATGCCCTCAGGCTGTCACAAGATGACTGCATGCACAGTGGGTGCGCGCAGGTGGGCAGGGCTGGGCTTGACGCTGCATGCACGGCATGGAGCCTGCCTGGGAGTCCCGCCTTCTCCAGGCTCTGGGCATGGAGCTGGGAGGAGGCGGGTCCCCCGGCTCCACGAGAGGAGGCCTGCCTGGGGGTCTGGCAAGGCCTGTCTGGAGGTCCCCTGGCTCAGCACGTTGAGGCCTGCTTGGGGGTCCTGGGGGTCCCGCCTCCTGGCTCCACGTGACGTGGAGGCGGGACCCCCAGCTCCAGCCTACCTCTTTGGGGCAATCCATTGAGGAGGCCTGGATGGGTGGGCAGGGCCTACCTCTTTGGGGTGATCGATCATGGGGCTCCTGCACTGTGACAGGACACAGGCCAGGCTGGGGGGACCCGCCCCCCCAGTGCACAAATTTCATGCACTGGGCCCCTAGTGAAAAATAATAGAAGTGGCCCCATCATCTGCCCTTCTCTGCCTTCCCACCCCTGGCCTCTGCACGAGGGTGTGGCTGTGCATAGCCCAAGCCAAGTTCCTCCTAAACTAGAGTCCAGCTTGCAACACTCAATTCCAGGGAGTGATTTAGTGCTTCATGTAGAGTCTCTGGGCATCACCTTGATTAGAAGAGGGGATCAATTAACATTATGTGAATTAGTTTCAGTCCATGTACAAAATTATACAGCCCCTCTCCCAGTGTCTGCCTATCAGAGCAGAGCCTATTTTCACAGCTGTGTCTCTCCCAAGGCTCTTCCAGCAGAATTACTTCCTTCTGAGATGCAGGGAGAAGAGACTCGGATTGTCTTTTAGCTTGACCACTTTATCTTCCTTAGAAAGACAAGCTTAATAAATCAGAACATTCTTCTATCTGAATCCTGTCTACCCATACTCCGTTATCTTTCATTCATGAATGTATGTGCTGTCTGAACTCTGAACAGTGGCATGGCCTTGACCTCCTTTTAGTCTCTAGGGGGAAATTCCCACATGCAAATTAAAATCCCAGCTCACCTTCCTCATCCCAACTTACTCTTTAATCACCTTCAGAAGATCTGATGTTCTGTGAAGACTGACATTTGAGAACAGTGACAAAGAAATATCAGTTTGCAGGCATTGGAGATTGGGGTTGGGAGATGCTCCTGTATACAGTTAATAGTGAACGCAGAGAAGAAAAGCTTGTTATTGGTCAGGGTAAGCTTGAAAGGGCGTTCAGGATGTCTTAGTCCCTTTGAATGGCTGTCACAGAATACCACAGATGGGGGGAGGGAGGGAGCTATGATCTCACTAATAAGTGGAATCCAATGAACAAAATAAACCAACAAATAAAATGGAACCAGAAGCATAGATACATGAAACAGACTGGCTGTTACTCAAGGAGAGAGGGTGGGGTTAACTGGATAAAGAAGGTGAAGGGCTTAACTGAAGAATATATATGCGTTCCCCATGGACACGGACAACAATTTGGTGAAGGCCAAGGAAGGGGTAGGCGAGGAAGGATGGAGGTGGACAAATGGAGGTGGGACTCCTGCAATAATGTCAACACTAAAAAATAAAGTTAAAGATAGATAGATAGATAGATAGATAGATAGATAGATAATAGATAGATAGATAGATAGATAGATAGATAGATAGATAGATAGATAGATACAGACATTTGCTCCTCCCAGCTCTGGAGGCTGGGAAGTCCAAGGTCAAGGAGCTACAGAGTCAGTGTCTGTGAGGAACTGCATCCCACAGAGGGTTGCCATCTTCACTGTAGCCTCACATGAGAGAAGGAGTAGGGCTCTCTCTGCCATCTCTTCCAGAGAAGGAATACCACTCAGATCACTGTACTCAGGACCCACTCACCCCCAAAGGCCCCACCTCCAGATACTGTCACGTTGGCGATTAGGTTTCAGTATATTAATTTGTGGGGTGAGGGGGAGTAGCTCCTGAGGACAGGGATCTGAGTTACCCAGCCCATAGCAGCATATTGGAAAAGAGAGACCAACTTGCTGGGACAGGGTCTGCAAATTGGTCATCTTGCCAAGAGGCTGTGCTCCCTAGTAGCGGGCTGTTGAATAGTGAAGCAAGTCGCTTGGCTCTGTCGAAACACCTAAGCTTTTCACCAGCTTTGTCAATAAATCCTTGTGAGAATTATTCAATTTAGCCCGGCAAAGTACCAACTCATACATTTTCTAAAACATGTAACACTTTAATGGCAAATTTTACTTTAAGGACAGGTATCCCACCCCTACCACCCTCCCCACCCCCAAGTAACTGAGCTCCCTTGAAGGCAGGGGGGAGTTTGACCATGACTGGACAACGCTAAGTGGTATACTGGTATACAGGCGTGCCTGAGGGGGGAGAGAGAAAGGAAGGAGGGAAGGAGAGAACAAAGAATGGGGAGAGTTGCCCTGGCTGGGTGGATCAGTTGGTTAGAGCATCATCCCATACACAAATAGGTTGCAGATTCAATTCCCAATCAGGGCACACACCCAGGTTTCCAGTTTGATCCATAGTAGGGGTGACGCATTCGGGAGGCAATCAATCTCTCTCTCTCTCTCTCTCTCTCTCTCTCTCTCTCTCTCTCTCTCCCTGTAAAAATCAATAAAACATATCCTGGGAAGAGGATTTAAAAAAATGGATGCCCTAGCTAGTTTGGCTCAGTGGATAGAGAGTCTACCTGTGGACTGAAGGGTCCCAGGTTCAATTCCAGTCAAGGGCACATGCCTGGGTTGCAGGCTTGATCCCCAGTAGGGGGCATGCAGGAGGCAGCCAATCAACAGTTCTTTCTCATCATTGATGTTTCTATCTCTCTCTCCCTCTCCTTTCCTCTCTGAAAGTCAATAAAAATATATTTTTTAAAAAAAAGAATGGAGAAAGAGAGAGAGAGAGAGAAAGGAAGGAACAAAAGAACAGGGAGGGAGGATGAATAAGTAAATAATTGACAGACATAGCAATGCTGCTCCTTGACTTCCATGAAGTAGTGAATCTTCTATCAATTGCTGACAGAGAACTCCTCAGGGAGTAACTGAAGGAAGAGTGAAAAAACAAATATCCCTGAGGCCTGTCGTGTTCTGAGTATCTGAGGATGGTCAGGTCTGGGCTTGAAGAAAATTCCTGACAGCAGATTTGGCCACACAAACCAAACGCCTTCACCGAGTAGTGGCAAGGGTCTGGACGCCCCGTGTGGTGGGGAGTCGTGCCGAGCATCGTGCAAACATTTCCCATGGGCCGCAGGGGCAAGACCTCTGGAAGCCCATTAATTCCCAGCTGCTGTAAGAGCTGATGCTGCAAAACAAAGAGATCTGTACTCTGGGAGGTGAGTGCATGTGCGTGTGTGTGTGTACGTGTGTGTGTGCATGTGTAAATATAGACTCAATAAATGAATACAAGCAGAAGGAAGGGCCTTACTTTATCACTTTTCTGTATAATATTTGGATAGCTTTTTTCTGATTATAAAATTAAATCAACGATTAAGAAATTTTGGAAAATACAGAAAATGACAAAAAAAAAACAATGTCACAAACAAGAAATAATCACTGTTAATATTTTAACATGTTTCTCTCAAGATTTCTCCACTGGAATCATACTCTGTGTAATGTTTTATAAACTACTGATTCCCATAACATTAGTCGCCCTGAATACTGTTGCCTGCCACAGAGTACCTATTCTTTTGCATTATTAACACCTACAGGTATTCTCATCATATAGATTTAAGATTCCTCAGTAGTATTCTGCAGGTGTAAATGTGGTTTGTTTATATATGTTTTTAAGTTTGCTATTAAATATTAATGCTTTAATTCACATCCATGAGGATTTCCTTAGGGCAAATTTTAGGAGGAAAAATTACTAGATCAAAAGATATTATCATTTAAAGTGTTTTGATATATATTACCGAATTCTTCTGCACACTGTTGTGTACACTAACTCCCCTCTACGAGGTGTGCCAGTTACCAGAACCACTGCCCACACTGGCTATCATTTCTCCTCAATTTTTCATGTTGAACAATGCAAAACATATAGATTTTTACTTTCTTTAGTCAATTGTGAGGTTAAACAATGCCCATTCTTTTTGTCATTTTGTATTGCTTTGTTCATTATCTAGATATTTTATTATTCAGGTATTTATTATTCATTCTTTCATTATTTTCTGTAAGGGCTCTTTATTTAATGAGGATGTTCACTATTTTGAAATAGTATATTAAGCTGTTTTTTATTGTAATAAGAACATTCAATGAGATGTATCTTTTTAACAAGTTTTAAGTGTACAATGCAGTATTGTTAATTATAGGCATATTGGTTAAATATAGCCCATCTCTACAACTTACTCATCTTGCATAACTGAATCTTACATTTTTAAACTTTTATTCATATGTTGAATACAAAGATTGTGAGTTTTTACGTAGGCGAATGTGCCAATTACCATAGTTTTCATGCTATGGATTACGATTTGAGGCAGAGATCTTATATTTTTTCTAGATCATAATGCTTTCAGCACCGCTAGTTAAAGAAACTATTATTTTTCTACTAGTTTGAAATTTTACTTAGTCATAAATCCAGTTCAGCTTATACTGAAAGCCTGTTCCTGGCATTTTGATTCGGCCCCGTTAATCTGACTGTGGGGATTTGGTTCAATCGTGAGCTTGCTGTTTTGATTGCCATGGCCCTGTTTTAATATCATGCTTTTGGGAGTGCCCCTGTACTGAAAACATTCCTGTTTAAACTTGATCTGACTCAGTGAGTTTTCTAAGCCAAGCTGCCGTGGAGGCTGGAAAGCAGGAAGGTATTTAATTCTCCACATATCCAGCAGGCAGAAATATCTATAGCTACATGTAGGTTAAAATCACATTTCTTCTCTTTTGTTTTCTAATGCTTATGAATCTTTGCATCATTTCAGTATCATTGTGTTAGTGATCCAATAGAAACATAGAGGATTTATTAGATGTCAATATGCTCAACATCTTTGTATGTAATTTCTAAATCATATCTCCTTTTAAAAACACAAGATGTCATTCAAAATAGTCGGCCAATGGTGATTAATTGGTTGTAAGTTACGGAACACTTTAAATAAATAAGAAATTTGTGTGCCCTATCCTCTGAAAAAATACATCTATATGAAAAAAATACATCACATACAATTTTAGCATTTTCTTAGATCATCTGATGCAAAATTATGGTCTCATTACTAGTAAAAAAAATACTTAGTGCTTTTCAAATGTATTGTAGCCAACTCATCTGTCCTTAGATAAAAGCTTATGTAAAGAAAAAACAAAACATCTTCTGGAGTTCGTAAAGCTCTTTAAGATGACATGACAGAATTAAAGCACAGAAGAGAGAGGTAGATAATGTGCGGGAGGGAGCCGGGCGTTCTGGCTGAGCGGAGAGCAGGTGTAGACGAGCAGAGACTGGATTCGTCTGAGTAAAGGCAGAGAAGCGCCGTGTAACCACTGTGAACCCAGGCTCATCCCCAGACGCCGTTATCTGCTGCTGTGAACCAAGTCGGAAGGGTGTTGCAATTGTTAATTTTATGTCCCAGTGGGCTGAGCCACCGGGCCCAGATGTTGGTCAGCCGTTATCCTGGGTGTCCTAGGAGGGTTTCAGATGAGATTACATTTAAAGCAGTAGACCTCAGAAAGCAGTTTTCTCCATAATGTGGCTGGGCCTCCTCCGATCAGTTAGGTCAAAATAGAGCAAAAGGCTGACCCTGAAGTGGGAGAGACCTTTCCAGCCAGACGACCTTCGAACCCGACATCAGCTCTTCTGGGTTCAACAGCGGCTCCCAGCCTTGGGGCTGACGCTGGGACACGGGCTCTACAGAATTTGGATTTGCCCGTCTCCATAATCACACGAGCCAGTTCCTCGTAATAACTGTCTTTATGTATATGAAGCCTATAAAGAATGCTGACCAACAACCTTCTATCCCAGTGGCCCAGGACAGACCAGGTTCATGCCTGTGTCTGCTGCACATATTACTGGCATCCTTCTGGTTCACACAGGCACCTGGCGTTTGGTGTTTGTTTATGTTTTACAAAGCAGAGGGGGGTCCTGTTTGTCTGAAACGCACCGCCAAAGGGTCTGCGACGCCCCGTGTGAGGGGGAGTCGTGCCGAGCATCGTGCAAACATTTCCCGTGGGCCGCAGGGGAGGACTTCTGGAAGCCCATCAATTCCCAGCTGCTGTAAGAGCTGATGCTGGAGTTTGCATAGCTCTTTAAGATGCCATGACAAAGTTAAAGCACAGAAGGGAGAGGTAGATGAACATGCCGGGGGGAGCCAGGGCGTTCTGACCTGAGCTGAGAGCAGGTGTAGATGAGCAGAGACTGGATTCATCCAAGTAAAGGCAGAGAAACGCCGTGTGAGCCACTGTGAACCCAGGCTCATCACGAGACACACATTATCTGCTGCTGTGAACCAAGCGGGAGGGTTGAAAATAGAAACATGTTCAGTCCAGGGCACTTCCCAAAGCTTGATATCAACCAGGGGAGACCCACAGTGGCCCCAGCTTGGGGGAGGAGTCATCTGTTTGTTGAGAACAGCCCTGAGCAAGGCAACTGCAGGCCCCTGGGGACAGGCGGAGTGGAAACACCAGGGTGGCCACGGCTGTGCCCCCTGCCCAGGCTTCTCCTCCCAGGGCCAGAGCAGGCTGGTGGTGGCAGGTGGCACCGTGGCCGGATTTACCGCCCCCTCAGCGTGCTCCCCACCCACCTTGTACCTGTGAGGATCAATGACTTGCTCCCCGGCACGAGGCCCTGAGGGTTGTTCTGATGGCCGGCTCCTCCTGAGGTCACTGCCTTTCATCGTCACTAGTCCCCGCAGCCCCTGCAGCCCGAGGGAGCAGCACCTGGGCAGCACCAGAACAAGAAAAGTCTGGGAGCAAGAGAGGCGTTCTCTTAAACTCACGCAATTCTCAAGACGCCTCTTGCCAGAGCTCTTACTCCTTGACCCTGCTCCCTGCGCCCGCCAACGTGGGAGCAAGTTCCTCCTGGATCCTGCTCGACTACACCAACTGTGGGCCAGTGTTAGATGGAGAAGACATGGGCGGTCACAGGCGTAGAGGAGAGGCTTTACTGCAGGCCAAGTAGCCGTTGCTAAGGAGGAGCCAGCAGTCAAAACAGTTCTTCAAAGGAGCCCCACCAAGCAGCCTCGCACAGGCTGGTCAGCAACACGTCTTTACACCAATTCTCACAAAAGAGGCTTCGTGCCAAAGAGTGACATCACTATCTGGGTTGTAGAAAGGCACGCCTGGCAGTGCGTACAGTACAACTGCTGTCATTGCCTTTGCACCCGCATATGGTGGCTTGGCCTTGAGCATCTGGCGGACTCTGATTCGGGTTCCCACACCTCTTTCTCTAAGTCATGTTACTACGATTCAGTGCAAACACTTCCCCTGAGAGGAGGGATGAATGACCCAGGTTTGCATTCACCTTTTCCTCCATCCAGTGAATCAGAGTTTTAAAGCCTTAACATCCATCGCCATTGTAAGTTCCACGCTTAGGGTTATATCTTCGCACTTTAGTTCTTGTTCCAATCAGCGGTGCACTTGCGGAGAGCACGTGCAGTTTCCAGTTCTGTTCCGTCACAGAGCCTTCCCGCTGACAGGCTTGTTCCCCGGGGTCTGATACAAATGCAGTCATTAAGCACACCTATAAAATAACTAATAAATAAATTCTGAACATTTAAAAGAGGTGATAAAGCACAATTTAACTTCCTAAATATAATTTCATCTTTTGCGGCTGTTTTAAAGATTTGAAATAGGGAGGAAATTCTTTACAAGTGGCTTTTATATATAACTAGAGGCCCGGTGCACAAAAATTTGTGCTCTGGCGGGGGGGGGGGGGTGTCCCTCAGCCCCATTTGTGCCCTCTCACAGTCTGGGACCCCTCGGGAGATAATGACCTGCTGGCTTAGGCCCACTCCCGGGTGGCAGAGGGCAGGCCCAATCCCTAGGTGCCTGCCCCACAGCCCCTGGTCGGGCTCAGAGCAGGGCCATTTGGGGAGTTGGGGCACGGCCCCCTGTCATGCACAGAGCAGGGCAGATCAGGAGGTTGCGATGCCACCCTCAGTCACGCTCAGGGTAGGGCCGACTGGGGGGTTGGGGTGCCACCCCCTGTCACACTCAAGGCAGGGTCAATGGGGAGGTTGCAGCGCCACCTCATCACACACAGAGCAGGGCAGAATAGGGGGTTGTGGTGCCACCCCTGTCACATACAGAGCCGGCCGATCAGGGGGTTGGGGCGCTGCCCCCTGTCACGCACAGAGCAGGGCCGATCAGGGGGTTGGGGAGCTCCCCCCTGTCACACTCAGGGCAGGGCCGATGGGGAGGTTGCGGCTCCACCCCGTCACACACAGAGCAGGGCGGAATAGGGGGTTGTGGTGCCACCCCTGTCACATACAGAGCAGGTTTCTGGCTTTGTTTACTTTCTGTATTTGAAACACTGTTTCAACTCCAGCTCTGAGATCCCGGCTGCCTGAAAGCAGGTTTCTGGGGTTTTGTTTAGCTTCTATATTTGTAACAATGTTTCTTAGCAGCTCAGAGCCCAGCAGCGGCAGGTGGGGAACCTGGCTTCCTCCGTCACTGGAGCAAGCAAGCCTCCTATTCGTGTAAGTAGCCTGGCTGCTGGCCGCCATCTTGGCTGGCAGTTAATTTGCATATAGCCAATGGGAAGGGTAGTGGAGGTATGGCTAATTACCATGTTTCTCTTTTATTAGATAGGATAACTCAGAACCTGATCCTCATTCACATGTGCACGTTCATGCCTAATGCATATCAGAGTAGCTCCTGTGGGAGGGACCGAGGGTCAGACTGTGCAGGGTGAAAAAGTAAGAATAAACACAGAAACCAGCAGCAGGGGTGGAACTGCATCCCATTCACCCTGCCCGGAGCGATGTCCCAGTTGGCAAGAAGCCATGGTCCCACTTAAATAATATTGGGATAATGTTGGCCGCGTAAGAAGAGCTTGGAAACCTTCCCTCCTCTGGAACTTTTTGGAATAGTTTGAGGAGGACATGTGTTAGTTCTTCTTTGAATGTTTGGTAAAATTCACCTGTGAAACCATCTGATCCAGGACTTTTGTTTGCTGGGAGTTTTGGGGTTTTTTTAATTATTATTACTCCTTAGATTTCATTTGTTTTTACTGGTCTATTCAGGTTTTCTACTTCTTCCTGACTCAGACTTGGAAGATGGTATGTTTCTAGGAATTTGTCCATTTCGCCAGGTTGTCCAGTTTGTTGCCATATGGTTGTTCATCTGCCTAAATCGTAGAGCTGAGCATGATTTAGTCGGACTTGTGGCAAAAAGCCTACGTCCATGTTGCTCATGCTATTCCGCTCAATGACTTTTGCTTTTACTTTCCCATTGTTTCCAGGAGGGGCAGCACCTTCCTGACTAGAGTGACTTCCTCAGCAAAAGTCTCCTCCCTCAGACATGTGCAGTTTTATACTGAGAAACAAAAGCCTACAGCTTGTATTGGCAAGAAAAATTTGATGTTTTCCCTCCTCTACTGACCTAGGAAATTAAGTTATTAACAGGAAAACACTGAATAAAAAGTTTACCCCCAGATAAATCTACAAGAGTGAATTGTATAACTTATACTAAAAACAAGGCTAAGCACGTTGTTAACTGGCAAGTGGTGAGCCTGCTCGTTTAAGCAGCTTCTCTCTCACTTACAAGTAGATGATGTCACCGCGCACCGGGACCGAGAGATGCCCGCGGCCCTAGGCCAGGACCTGATTCCCAAGAAGGTGTTGTGTGTACCGCAGGTTCCCCCAAAGTCACACCCGTGCTGTTAGGTCAAGCTCCATTCATCGGGTCTCACAGCCGCACTGAACTGACACTCAAGCCACACAGACAATGTCCACAGTGCTGGCACTAGTGGGCACCGCCAATCAACTTCTGCAGAAAGCACCGCTCTCACCTTCTCTCTTACTGTTTATTGCTACCGAGCTAAGAATTGTACCTTTAAACGAGTCCTTCCATATCGATGCTCAGTGTTTCCTTGTTGTTGATCCTTCCCCACTTCATGTCCTTGAAAGAGAGACATGAGACATGGGTGGAAAAGTAGCTAGTGATATGAGCAGTTCTATGCAGGGGATAAAATAGCACGGGGCCATTGTAAATTGAGATGAATAAGCATTTCATCTCTTCTGCGTGCCTGCTCTAGGCATTGCAAAAAATAATTACTATATTATTCTTAGCCAAATAGTATGATGGTTTTATATACCTGTCGTAATAAAATACCAAAACATACTAAGAATTCTATGATTTTTATAAAATATACATCCAAACAAGCTTCCAAAGGTCTGAAGGAGACTGTAAGTCGCAGGAACAGGTTCTCAGAGGCTGCATTTGAAATTGTTCAGGTGGGATTAGCTGCCTCTTTAATTGACAGGATGGTGATTAAAGTCAGTCTAGACCAGTGGTCAGCAAACTCATTAGTAAACAGAGCCAAATATCAACAGTACAACAATTGAAATTTCTTTTGAGAGCCAAATTTTTAATACTTAAACTATATAGGTAGGTACATTGTTATTAACTTAATTAGGGTACTCCTAAGGCTTAGGAAGAGCCACACTCAAGGGGCCAAAGAGCCGCATGTGGCTCGCGAGCTGCAGTTTGCTGACCACGGGTCTGGGCAGCAGCTAAGTCGGCCTCTCAGACCATTCTCAGACTTCTGAATCCACATGTGTGTCACGTCCTCCCTCTATCTTACCAGCCCTCTCTCCAGCTGTTACAGCCAGGCACCCGCCTGTCATCAATAAACCATGCTCCTAGCAATGCGTTGCACAGCGCTTGCACGGAAGCACAGTTATCTGATAGTTAAGAGATGTACACTCTGTCCTGGCAGGAGGTTGGCTCATGGATGCGAGAGTCAATGTCACTTGGTGAAGAGGGTCCTCCCATCCGCCAACCAGGCACATGGATGCAGTGCAGAATGAGGCCTTGGCTTAAAGGTAAGGATGACACACACTAACTTGGGATTTTCCTGTAGAAATAGGAAGAGATTGACCAAGTGGGGGGGGGGGGTACAAAACAAAGGGAAAAATTAAAAGAAAAGAAATACAATGAAGAACTTGGCTTTGGAGTTGACCAAACAGAATTCCTCCTATGGCGCTATTTCCTATAAGTTGTGTAACCTCTCAAAGCTTCATTTTCCTACAAAATTACCCTCCAAGATAGTTGAACTTATCCCGTTGTTAGTATTAAGTGAAGTGATACGGTATAACATGGCTGTATGTAAGTCTCAAAGCGATTCAGTTCAAGGCTCCCAAGTGCAGGGATGTAGCAGGAAGCACAGTCTTCAACCCTGATTCTTTACTTACAAACACCCTGGGGATCGGGTGGAAGGAAGCTACAGGTGGTGGGGAGTTTGCAACAATGTAATGATCAGACAGGAATAAAGCAAGTCACATGGCAAGGTCCAGTGTCTTCCCTTCTGAGCCAAAATTATCATGGGAGGCTGCATTATGAGGAAGTGAGGCCCTCACAAGGCCCCGGGAGGGGGAAGTGCTGGGGCAGATCCTAGTCTACATTCCTAACACCATTTCTGTGTCTCCCTGGGGAAGACAGGTCACTTACTGAACCTACTGACTATGCTTCTGGAGCCTAAGGTTCCTCTTCTTCCTGTGGCCCTCAGAGCCCTCCCCATCCCCATCCCCATTCCCATCCAATCCCCATCCCCAGCATAATCCATCCCCATTCCCATCCACATCCCCATCCCCAGCACATTCCATCCCCATCCCCATCCCCATCGCCAGCACATTCCATCCCCATCCCCATCCCCATCCCCAGCACATTCCATCCCCATCCCCAGCACATTCCATCCCCATCCCCATCCCCATCCCCAGCACATTCCATCCCCATCCCCATCCCCATCACCAGCACATTCCATCCCCATCCCCATCCCCAGCACATTCCATCCCCATCCCCATCCCCATCACCAGCACATTCCATCCCCATCCCCATCCCCATCCCCAGCACATTCCATCCCCATCCCCATCACCATCACCAGCACATTCCATCCCCATCCCCATCCCCATCCCCAGCACATTCCATCCCCATCCCCAGCATATTCCATCCCCATCCCCATCCCCATCCCCAGCATATTCCATCCCCATCCCCATCCCCATCCCCAGCACATTCCATCCCCATCCCCAGCACATTCCATCCCCATCCCCATCCCCATCCCCAGCACATTCCATCTCCATTCCCAGCACATTCCATCCCCATCCCCTCCCCATCATCAGCACATTCCATCCCCATCCCCATCCCCATCACCAGCACATTCCATCCCCATCCCCATCCCCAGCACATTCCATCCCCATCCCCAGCACATTCCATCCCCATCCCCATCCCCATCCCCAGCACATTCCATCCCCATCCCCAGCACATTCCATCCCCATCCCCATCCCCAGCATATTCCATCCCCATCCCCATCCCCAGCACATTCCATCCCCATCCCCATCCCCATCCCCAGCACATTCCATCCCCATCCCCATCACCATCACCAGCATATTCCATCCCCATCCCCAGCACATTCCATCCCCATCCCCATCCCCATCCCCAGCACATTCCATCCCCGTCCCCATCCCCATCCCCAGCACATTCCATCCCCATCCCCATCCCCAGCATATTCCATCCCCATCCCCATCCCCATCACCAGCACATTCCATCCCCATCCCCATCCCCATCCCCAGCATATTCCATCCCCATCCCCATCACCATCACCAGCACATTCCATCCCCATCCCCATCCCCAGCACATTCCATCCCCATCCCCAGCACATTCCATCCCCATCCCCATCCCCATCCCCAGCACATTCCATCCCCATCCCCAGCACATTCCATCCCCATCCCCATCCCCATCGCCAGCACATTCCATCCCCATCCCCATCCCCATCCCCAGCACATTCCATCCCCATCCCCAGCACATTCCATCCCCATCCCCATCCCCATCCCCAGCACATTCCATCCCCATCCCCATCCCCATCCCCAGCACATTCCATCCCCATCCCCATCCCCATCGCCAGCACATTCCATCCCCATCCCCATCCCCATCCCCAGCACATTCCATCCCCATCCCCAGCACATTCCATCCCATCCCATCCCCATCCCCAGCACATTCCATCCCCATCCCCATCCCCATCCCCAGCACATTCCATCCCCATCCCCAGCACATTCCATCCCCATCCCCATCCCCATCCCCAGCATATTCCATCCCCATCCCCAGCACATTCCATCCCCATTCCCAGCACATTCCATCCCCAACCCCAGCACATCCCATCCCCATCCCCAGCACATTCTATCCCCATCCCCAAGCACATTTCATCCCCACCACCAAAGATTAGTTTTCCTAAAGGTAAAGCTCCATCCTCTGGCAAAGCTGTACTGCTCTCCTTCCCACCCACTGTCCTCCCCTAGGGTCTCAACATCCACTAGAAAAAGACTGGACTTGAAAACTCCCTGCCTGCGCTTGATCTAAGAAAACTCTCCCCTGCAGGCAGCGCGTTCTACTTCACTCTGTCCCTCAGGAGCAGTTTTATAGCTTTCTGCTCACTCTCTGTCCTCATCGGCCTGCATTTGTTTACAGCATGAGAGCCTGTCCTGACACAAATGTCTCACAAAGAAAGAAGATGTGACAGAAGCTGCCACTTATTCGGTCTCTATTTGTACATTCAACCCCCTAGTGGCTTAGTCATCTCTCAAAATTCTTCCCGACATCTGAAACCACACAGTCCGAGTGCCTTGGACATGTGAACAAACATTAAACTAAAATCCAAAATACAGGAATGAGAGAGATTAGCCCTTAGCTCGTTTTCTGTACCAGCATATTATAAACTTTTCTTTATCAACTCGTTTTCCTTTGCCAACTAGTTAATAAAAATGTTCCCTCTTTTGTTCACCACCAATCCCAACTTGATAGCAAGCCCTCCCCTCAGGTTACCATAGATACCTTGGCTGGAGGACCCTGTGGCCTTGTGTCTCTTTGCCAGATTAAGCCCTCAACAAATATTTCTTGTGTGCTGACATAAAGCTCTATGCTGTTACTATTCTAAGTGGAGAGTGAGACATAGATAATCAATAATAAAAATAATTATAGATAGTGACATGTTTTCTAAAGAAAACTAACAAGACTAACAGAATAGACTAGAAAGCCACAGTGGATCAAGAAAGGTGGGATGGGCACATGTTAGCCTGCATGGTGAGGGGAGATCTCTCCTAGGAGCTAACATTGAACAGGAGCTAACATTGTCTCAGTGTGAGGACAGCCATGCAAATATGCACATCAATTATCAAGGTCCAGGGGAGGGCTCGGGAGGCATGAGTGAGTCCTCTTCCAGGACGCTGAGGCACTGTGGGTGAGAAGGAAGGCAAGAGACACTGGGTGGACAGGGAGGCAGTTAGGGGATTGTAGGGACACTGGGTGGACAGGGAGGCAGGGGAGAGTTAGGAGATTACTAAAATATTCCAGGACAAAGGATGATGGTGGGATTCAAGCCATACCTGTAGAGATGGCAGGAAGTAACCAGACTCGGAGACTCTTCTAGAGGAAGAGCTGAGAGCAGTCCCAGGGGATTAAATTTAAAGGCCTCAAAAATCATCAGATTTTAGTCCAAATAGGCAGATAGATGGTAGAGGCATTGGCTGACATGAGGAAAAGCACGTTGGGGGATGGAGCAAAATCAACTGTTCTGTTTTAGACGTATTACACTAGAGATGGCTAGAGCTGTTGGGAGAACAACTCTGAGCTAAGAAGAAAGTCAAGAATGAAGAAGAGCTTTCTATCTACCTGCTGTCTCTGCTCTAAGACCACCTTTCTATAATATAATTTTCTGTAAATTACATTTCCCATGCCCCTCGATCTGCGGCTTCCTATTCAGGTTTTGTTTTAAGAGAAATATAAAGAAGGAGAGAGACAAACTTGGTGTTTTCTAGTTGCTGCCAGTCATTGTTCTAGCAGATGGCAGCCTCCAGCCTCGAGCTTCTTCAGCAAGGGAACCATCACCCTGCTTCGCACTCTCAGAGGGACCAGAAGCAGTCAGGCCTCTTCCTCTAAGAGCCAGAGTACTGGCAACCCATCTAGCCAACTATCCATTCTCCAGCCAGCCAGCCAGCCAGCCATTCATCCACCCATCCATCTACCCATCCATCCATCCATCCATCCATCTCTGGCAACTAAGTACTGGCTTGGCCATACCATCTCAGCGCTCTGAGAAGCTGCTAGGCTCGGGTTCTCAGCTCCAAGCACACACTGGGCCATGCCTCTTCCTCAAAGGCCAGAGCACCAGCCCTGCAGGGACCTGCCCCCAGGCTCTGGGTCTCTTATTTTCTAAGAGTGATTGTTCCTTCCTATATTTACAAATTTCTGGGATACTTCAGCTTCTCCTTTTCACTCTTTAAGTCTTATGTTTATGCACAATTCCCTGAATTAAGTCCTATCTCTGAAATTCAAAATGTGGTTTCTGCTTTACTGACTAGACCCTGACTGACAGATAGATACATAGATAGACACATAGATAGATGAAGGATGGATAGATAGATAGATAGATAGATAGATTGAAAGAAAGAAAGAAATACGGTGGGTAAATAAACATTTTTTCCTTTTCTTAACAATGGTGGTCTGCTATCTCTGAATTGACAACTTAAATTAATCAGAAGGTCTTAGATTGCTCCTCTATGATTACTAACTAGTAAAAAATACTAACAACAAATTATCAGTATTACTTATCCACATCTCCTTGCTCTATTTTTCTTGTTTCTCAATGAGTATATATCAAAATAGTTTACCACTTAGACCAAAGTTTCTCTACCATTTTGCCTGCATACTACTGGATACTAAGTAGAAGAGGTGGGGCTCCTTTGGGGAATTAATTAAAAGTGTCTTAAGTGATATCGTTTAGCCATAGAAAAAATAAAATATATGTTTATGACTTCCAGAAGTTTCCTGTATTATCACTGGAAAATCAGAGGAATGACAGATCTGGGAGGAAATAATATTTGGCACATTTATGTATCCTTCAAATTCCAATTAAAAGACCGATACAATCATCATGAGTATACACAAAATTTAGAAGCTACGTAAACACACAGCACATGCCCAAGCAGATGGTGCAAAGAACACACAATTAAAATATGAACAATAAGTTTAAACTAGGTTTTTTCAGGATATAATTATTGAAGTAATCCTACACAGGATTTTTACTTAGGTTTTGTTTGTTTGTTTGTTTTTTACAACTGATTTATATACACACTTCGACACATAAAATGGGAGTAAATATTCTTATATGACACTGCTTTTCATTACTCACATTCTCTGTCCGACAAAATTTGGCTCAAATAACAGAACCATCATATGCTCAAGTTTTCAAAAATTATCACCACTCCTCTCCATTTTTGACGAGGGATTGAGTGGAAGGTCTTGCAATTTGCAAGCTACATACAATTAGGGGAGAAACAGGTGTTGCCAAACATTAGTGCTGCAAAATACATCTTCAACAGTATCACCTGCAGCCCCGTGAGTGATGTTATTTTCCAGTAAGCAAACATTTTTCAATTAGTCCCACATTGGCTCTCACCTCTGTCAGAGTTTGTAATGAAGATGAGCGGTTTGCTTTGGGCCCAGTGCATTCTGTTAGAAATGAAATGTGCAACCTCCCCTGTGCCTGGGCAACCTCCCCTGTGCCTGGACAACCTCCTCTGTGCCTGAACAACCTCCCCTGTGCCTGGACAAACTCCCCTGTGCCTGGACAACCTCCTCTGTGCCTGGACAACCTCCCCTGTGCCTGGACAACCTCCACTGTGCCTGGAAAACCTTCCCTGTGCCTGGACAACCTCCACTGTGCCTGGAAAACCTCCCCTGTGCCTGGAAAACCTCCCCTGTGCCTGGAAAACCTCCCCTGTGCCTGGACAACCTCCCCTGTGCCTGGACAACCTCCCCTGTGCCTGGAAAACCTCCCCTGTGCCTGGAAAACCTCCCCTGTGCCTGGGCAACCTCCCCTGTGTCTGGACAACCTCCCCTGTGCCTGGGCAACCTCCCCTGTGCCTGGGCAACCTCCCCTGTGCCTGGACAACCTCCCCTGTGCCTGGGCAACCTCCCCTGTGCCTGGGCAACCTCCCCTGTTCCTGGGGAAACACTTAGACATCTCCATGTTTCGAATGGTCTTTCCTGTGTGGCCATGGACAGAGCCATCTTTCTTCTGCTTTGGCAGCTCTGGGGTAATACACGGAGCTGGTTCTGAATTACAGAATGCCGGTGGAGACCCCTCAAAGTGTTCTCAAATATAATTCATTTTCTTTGGAGATAGGGATTATCAGTTCTTCTAAAGCATGATTTAATTATGCTCTTACATAAAATGTCATCATCCTAGTACACTTGACATTTTTAATACACATTCTATTCCTGTCATCTATATCAATGACAAATGACAGAATAAAGGCCTAGTTAAAAATTATATCATCCGAGACATTTTCTATAATTATGGGCAATTAGAATTTGTAAAACATTTAAATGAATCTAGCTTTTTTAAAAGCCCAGGAAGCTCCTAAAGAAACGCAAGCAAGCGCTGAATACCCGATCTATCAATCAAGAGGCCTGGTGAGGAGAACCAGGCACTGGACGGAGTCGTGGCACCATCACTGCCTGGCCTTTGACTTTGGACAAGCATCTCATCCTCTTCAGGCTGTTTCCTCATCATAAGACTAGAGGGCTACATTAACGGCCTTCTAAGATGCTTTTAAGCAACAAACTCATAAAATCTTAATATTCTGCGGGTAACCATATGTCCAGAACTTGCTGGATGCTAAGTGAGATCTAGACATGGTGCTTATCTTGAGTTGTTTATAGTCTAGTTTGGTAAGAAGTAGGAAAAACAGCCTAGCTGGTGTTGCTCAGTGGTTGAGTGTCGACCCATAAACCAGGAGGTCACGGTTTGGCTCCCTGTCAGGGCACATACCCAGGCTGTGGCCTCAATCCCCAGTAGGGGGCGTGCAAGAGGCAGCTTATCAATGATGCTCTCTCATCATTGATGTTTCTATCTCTCCCTTCCTCTCTGAAATCAATAAAGACATTTAAAAAAAAAAAAAATTGGAAAAACATAGAGTGCAAGAGGCAACTAATAAACAAGTATCAGTGTGTTTACTTTGAGAACTTGTGTCCATTAAACAGTATTGCAAGTCTCTTCACCTTAACCACAGCCTGCTTATTTTTAGAAAACCTACCACCAGATTAAATTACATCCAACTCAATATATAGTTGCTGGACACATTCTACAAAACTAGTCAACAGCTTTTCAACACATGATGTTCCATTCTAGCTTCATTTCGTCACTGTCGGTTCTGCGACTAAACTTCGGATCCCCAAGCTCTTGCAACGGTTTGCAGTCCTGGCCCCTCCGTCCAGGAAGTAGGTCAGTGCTGCTGCCAGCAGCCGAAGAGCGGTGCAGGGAGGGCTCCTGCGCCTGGCTCCGAGTTTAACGCTCCCTGCCCATGGGCCTCTATCCCAACACAGGGGTTCACGCCCTCCCGAGGTGCTTCCTGCACCACACCTCTGTCCCTCCTGCCCCCCAGCCATGGGACTGAGGGACCCTGGCGGGGAGAAGGCCTGGAAATCGCCCCTCCTGCTACCCTTCACCACCCACAGACCTGGAGCAGCTACTGATGCAAGACCCAGGGGGTAGGTGATGGCTCAGTGCACTGACACTTGAGAGATTTCATCCCAAACAGAGACTTTTCCACAATCAAATAGCATATGTTTCCTCACTTATAAAATCCAAACTGAATTCCTACCTTCAGGGTTGTCATGAGAAATAAATGAGATGAAGTCTGTGCCCTGTATATAATAAATGCTCAACATTGTGTGAGCCAGGCCTGTTTATTTTCTGTGCCTTGATGCTTTGGCACCTGAGGCTGGGCTGGCCTGGGGGTGAGCTAATTCCTAGTGATAGCAAACAACTACCAGAGAGTTCATCTTTCATAGCAGATCAATCATAGCAGGGGCCACACACCGACCCTTTCCTGTCAGCCTCTCTAGTTTCAGGCCTCCATCCACCAGCCCTAATCACCCCGCCAGGTATTACACAACAGGAAAGGGCCCCTCCACCCTGAGCTGCTGAAATCTCTCCAGGTGGCCAATCCTAATGCTGCTTATCCCGCCCTTTCCTGCCCCTGAAACCACAGGAAAGGCTCCTGCCCATATCCCCCTCCCTCCCTCCCTCTGCCTCCCCACCCACCCACTGCTTCCCTGGGGCCCTGTCCTGGGGCCACGCCTCCTTTCCTCTTCCTTTCTGGGGATCTGGGAGCATAATAAACTCCCTCCTCTGTGACCATCACCTCCCTGTCTGCAGGTCTGGCCTCCTAGCAAAGAAAAACAAATCCCAGCTGCCTGTAAAGTGTCTCTTTTCTGACCCTCCCCAAGTGATGCGCTCCCAGCCCTAGACTCCAACACCCACAACCCTGACTCCTGGATTCTCTCCTGCCTAGTGAACTGACAGTGGGTTCTCTTCACCTGTGGCCTGGCTAGCTCCCTGGTCCTCTTTCATGACATGCCTTCTTTTTTGTTCTTTTCTTTTTTTTTTCTTTTTAAATCTTTATTGTTCAGATTATTACAGTTGTTCCTCTTTTTTCCCCCCATAGCTCCCCTCCACCCGGTTCCCACCCCACCCTCTGCCCTTTCCCCCCTCCCCCACTGTCCTCATCCATAGGTGTACGATTTTTGTCCAGTCTCTTCCCGCACCCCCCACACCCCTTTCCCCCCAAAAATTGTCAGTCCACTTCCTTTCTATGCCCCTGATCTATTATATTCACCAGTTTATTCTGTTCATCAGATTTTTTATTCACTTGATTTTTAGATTCACTTGTTGATAGATATATATTTGTTGTTCATAATTTTTATCTTTACCTTTTTCTTCTTCTTTCTCTTCTTAAAGAATACCTTTCAGCATTTCATGTAATACTGGTTTGGTGGTGATGAACTCCTTTAGCTTTTTCTTATCTGTGAAGCTCTTTATCGGACCTTCAATTCTGAATGATAGCTTTGCTGGATAAAGTAATCTAGGTTGTAGGTTCTTGCTATTCATCATTTTGAATATTTCTTGCCACTCCCTTCTGGCCTGCATAGTTTCTGTTGAGAAGTCAGCTGACAATCGTATGGGTACTCCCTTGTAGGAAACTGTTTTTCTCTTGCTGCTTTTAAGATTCTCTCTTTGTCTTTTGCTCTTGGCATTTTAATTATGATGTGTCTTGGTGTGGTCCTCTTTGGATTCCTTTTGTTTGGGGTTCTCTGCGCTTCCTGGACTTGTAAGTCTATTTCTTTCACCAGGTAGGGGAAGTTTTCTGTCATTATTTCTTCAAATAGGTTTTCAATATCTTGCTCTCTCTCTTCTTCTGGCACCCCCATAATTCAGGTGTTGGTATGTTTGAAGTTGTCCCAGAGGCTCCTTACACTATCTTTATATTTTTGGATTCTTTTTGCTTTTTGCTTTTCCAGTTGGGTGTTTTTTACTTCTTTGTATTTCAAATCTTTGACTTGAATCTTGCGATCTTCTAGTCTGGTGTTGGAACTCTGTATAATAATCTTTATTTTAGTCAGTGTATGCTTAATTTCTAGTTGTTCCTTTTTCATATCCTCGAGGGTCTCACTAGATTTATCAAGGGTCTCACTAAATTTATCGGCGGTTTCTAGAAAATTCTTGAAAAACCTTATAACCATGGTTTTGAACACTATATCCAGTAGTTTGTTTTCCTCCATTTCTGTCATTTGTGACCTGTCTCTTTGTCTCCTCATTTTGGCTGCTTCCGTGTGTTGATAGAGTGGCTTTGTGTGCTAGGTGTCCTATAGGGCCCAGTGGCTCAGCCTCCCCAATTACCTGAGGTGGACACTCTTGATGTACCCCTTTGTGGGCTGTGTGCACAGTCTTGTTGTAGTTAAGCCTTGATTGAAATTGGTATCACTGGGAGGAATTGACCTCCAGGCCAATTGGCTGTGAGAATCAGCTGTGTTTATGGTGGGAGGACTTCAGTGCTGGAGACACCCTTCTGGGGCAATACTTACTTCAGTGGGGCTTTGGTGCTCACTGAGTCTGCCCCCTGGGTGTGTCTCTTATGGATCTGAGGAGTTGTAATCTAGATGGTCCCACTCTGACCACTGGGTACACTGGAACTTGGATCTCTAAGAAGGTGCTAATTTAGCCTCTGCCTGAGGCTACCCAGCAGGAGCTATGGATAGATCTGCAGACTCCTCCTCTTTGTTTGGGATTTAGAGGTGTCCAGATGAGGCCCAGCTGTGAAGCAATGCAAGCTGCTGTGGGGCCTTGGGCCTTCTTTTGGATTTTCTGGGTCTTTTGGATGAGGGATCTGAAGTACCTATGCCGAGGAAGTTTCTAGACTGAAGACCAAGATCAAGTTTCCAGCTTGGGTAGATTTCCCCATTTCCTTTCCCTCCTTGATCTGATTCCGGCCTACCTTCTAGCATTTTTCCTATGTTGTTTTCATTTCTTAGAAGAAATGAAACTTGATCTTGGTCTCCAGTCTAGAAACTTCCTCTGCGTAGGTACTGCAGATCCCTCATCTTATCAGCTCGAAACCTCTCCACACCCCCAAAAAGGAAAAGGCAGAATTGTGTTAAGAGTGAGAACAAGGGATTCAGAAATATTTGATTTTTAAAATGAGCTCACAGTATCTGCAATTCTCTCCAAGACTCAATTTTTCACTTGGAAAGTGGAGACAATAATAGTTCCTACATCATGCAGTGGTTATCAAGATTCTGTGAGATAATATATGTAAATTGCCTAATATGGATATGGCCTAAAAATGGTAGCAATTATTGCTGCAATTTTAACTGTGGTTGTTATTATGGTAATGTCAGTAGCTGTGGTTAATGCAGAGATTATGTTATAATCTCTAAAAATAAACTTTGCGAGCACCTTTAAAATACCCATATCTGTCACCCTTGAAAAGTATGGCTCAAAAATTGGTTTTAAAATAATGCATTTTCTTATATCTACACGTGTTTTTAAAGACAAATCCAACTATTTAAATATTTATGATATAGAGGTCATTGTTACTGGATCAAACTTATTTTTTTTAAGAAATAAGCATCCATTCATTAGGTGTATGTGTTGAGTGTGCATTTGCTTAAAACATGTTTACCTACAAATATATAAAGATAAATAACTAAATATTAAGTGTGCATTTGTGTGGCTCTGCACAGGTTCATTTTTCTCTTGCACTACCCTTGGATACTTACAAAACTCCAGTGATATGAACGTAAAAAGAATGACATGGGCATAAGCGTCATTATCACCATTTTACACATGAAGAAACTGAGGAAGGGAAAAGTAATTAAAATGAGTCGCAGGCCTAACTTCCTATGTACATGATTTTCACAGTAACCCTGAGTACTCCACTGACATGAGTCATCAAGACACCCAATCCTTCCGAATTATCAACTTCATTGGTCAA